GCTTATACTAAAATTCAATCACCATCATCACCACCATCAGTGTAAATCTGGGATTCCCAACAAAAGTCATTTAACGATACAAATAATTAATTCGTAATAATAATTTTCAAGATGATGTAGTAAAACTAGAGCGGCCGCGTGGTGAAAGGGCAGGAGTGGGCGTTATTTCGTTTTAGCCAGACATACAAAAGTCCTGCTGTGCGTTCTAACGGCGAAAATGATAATTGTTAAAAATTAAAGTTATAATACGCATTTGGTGGTTAATTTTGTCTACTTTTACATTGTATGTGGAGGTCGTTTCGAAAAAAGCGCATAGTCGGCGACATATAAGCAAAATACTGAAAAAGCATTTTTTTTGAAATTTTCTTTGCGAAATCGTTTTTCGAATAGGTAAATCTCAAATTCGAATCTATCACCCCCAAAAACATTAAACTGGCTAAAAAATCGGAAAATGTGGGAAAAAATGGAATTTTTTCCTAAAGGGGATGTTAATCGCGCAACATTTCTTGACCAATGGATTGAAGACATGCGGGTATCGGCCGCTAGATTTCATGAAGTAATGACAATCCCTGGAGAATCAATCATGTCTTCGCAACGTTCTGAATAATTTGCTTTCTCAGAAGTTTGAGTTATCCTCCGTGATGAATCTCCACTTGCTTCGGTCATTTCTTCAGATTTTTTGGAGAAAACCACTGACAGAAGTTGAACAGATAAGTTTCTATTTCGCGCCAGCGAAGATGTGTTTGTAATGTTGTCACCAGTGCTCGCTGCGAGCTATTGCTTTCAACTGTTTATTGTGCCAGAGTGGGAGGAGCAAGTTCATCAATCAAGAAAAGTTAGTGAATGAACCAGTTAGTGAATGATCCAGGTAGCTTGGCTCAATGATTAAATCATGAAATGTTGACTGTTAAACCACGATGTTTGTGGAAGTACAGAAGTACATTTTTTTCATTTATAAATTAGGAGGGACTGGCTGAAACCAACTGCCATAAACTGCCAATACTCGCCTGCTCTCTGAGGGAGAAAATAAAGTTTACCTCGAAGACCGCGCACTCTCTGCAATGGTTCCTGCTGCTGGTTCGCGTGTTTGCCCGCTAGAGATCTCTTCTGCATTATTAATGGCAGCGGTTCATTTGCGGCCAAGCTAATCAAACGGATTGGCTGTAGCGTGGAGAGAGATTTCCTTTGAGCATTTCTACCAAGTTTGTTCTATGTTCGGTCGGTTCGATTCTGAAGCTCGTTCCATTCCGAAGGTTGAAAGCTTCTCCGAAGTAGGATTTGCCAACTCTGATGGAGCGGACTCTGCTAAGTACGATTTGCAATCGCGCCAAAGCTCTTTGTTAATTTTTCGAGTTCCGGGCTCCTTCCACACAATGCTGTCCGTTTGATGGAAACTTGCCAATTGTGGAAGAATGCTCGAGTTCTGCTCTACGGCACTTAAGTTTTGCGTTTTGAATTTTTTGGTGCTTGCAGAGGGATAATATTGAAAGATTTGCGCGAATTCTTGTTTCAAGTTCCTAAATAGTCCGAAACAACAATTCGTTGTGGTTTAAAATATGATATGAAATTGAAGAGATCGTACATACACTTTAGGCCAATGCGAAGATCAGTTTACATACATTGTTTACGTTTCATTTAAACACTATTGCTGAATTTTCGAAAAACAAAAGACTTTTTGAAGACAGTTTATATTATTTAAAAAAAAGATATCTTAAACACAAATTTTTACATTTTTTCTTAAGCTTCAGGACGTCTCAACGACGTTTTTTCGTCATCTGCAGGTAAAAAATGTTTATATTTACATAAACACAAAATTGTACGTAAATAGTTCTTTAATTTGATAAGCCTAAAAACAAAAATACAGAAAAATTAGTTTACATTTGCAAAACTACTTATTCTATAAATAATGAAGTAAGTACGTTATGCAGAAAATTATATACCCACCTTATTTTTACGGATGAATTATATAGATATTTCTTATACTAAATGTTCAGACACATACTGAACGCTTCGACTGTTGTAGAATGATGAAGCTTCTGGATTTATAACGTTTGAGGGACAATGGGAGTGAAGGAAGACTATGTTCTATGGAGTAAAAAAAGAAGGGCGAGAGAAATTGTTTGTAGAAAAAAACTTAAAAATTGATGGTGATGTATGTTAATTAGTTGTAAAATTATTGGATTATATTGCTCAATTTATATCAGCACTATTCATAATATTTAATGTTTACTTTATTATCTATTTGTAGTAATTGCCTACTCACGAGAATTTTCGAAATTCAGAGACAATAGTGTGGTTCATTGATATTCTATGTATAGTCAGAGAATTTTGTTAGTTGGTAGGTTCATTACTATTGCGTTTATGTTATTTAAATATGAACTCTAACTTTCTAGTATATTGTCTTACATATTGAATGGAGCTATCACATGAAAAAGTCCTAAACAAACGAAAAGTGAAAAAAATAAAAAGTTTAAATGAAAACAGCTTTCTGCCATTGATTTCACTCTTTTAAAATCTTCAGTGTATTCATCTTCAGAGACAAATCAATATTGTAACCGATGATATTTGAACCGTAAGTAAAATTGCCAATTGTGATGGCAACAACCGATGTTGGATTATTTTGGCGTTTTCATTTCACAACACAACTATGCTTCTAGTCTTAACAACTATGGAATGGATGCAAATGGATCGAAAAATATAAATATTATTAATAAACATATTGTTGTTATCTTCGAAACTGTTCGCTTTTAAAAGAATTGAAAGTTTCTTACTTTATCGTAGTTACTTCGCAAGATTAGAAGTATTGCGATGATCCACTTGCAAAATCTCGTGTGTCGGTTTTCAGTAATTTTTCCAGAGAGACTAAAACCTTATTTATTTCGTCAAAACTTTCAATCGCCGATAGAGAGCACTAAAATGCGATTTTGCCTTCTAAGGTCTCGTCAATGTGTGCTAAGCATCCAGATGAATCCAACGGTACCAAAACTCTATTTTGGTCAATATTCAGACTTCAGAGGTTTTGCAAGTAGATCAATTTGTAAAAGTGCCCGGAAAACGGCGAAATTTAGATAGGGAAAACTCTTGGGGGTCCTGGCAACGAATAGCAGGGTAAATCTTGCCCAGTGTTTCTTTCTTCCTCTTAACACAGTGTGTAGTCAGAATCCTGGTTACATGGTTCTTGATTTCGAAAAATCGATTGACTGCAAAGCGTTCATCCATCCGTCTGTCCCTAGTAGTATCCATGAAGGTGAGAATGTAAGTAAGGGATTAGGATGAAAAAAAGGAGGAAGGCGCGGTTCGTGGCCCGTTTGTTAGGGTACTGCTCCGGCATTCGCCTGTTGTGTATCGGAGAAACCGCGGAAAACTCCCAATCAGAACTAGAATTCTCTCCTACGCAGAGGGTGAATTCGACCTTACTGTGTATGAAAATCCTACCATTGTCGGGACTAGAACCCCAGGACCTCCCAGTCAAAGGCTCTGAAGTGAAACCAATTGATGCCCTGAGCCACCTCAAAAATTGACGAAAATATTTTTTTCTCTTTAGAAGACATTCACAATTAGTTCTTTAATTAACATAGGGCAGAGGCCTCTCCAAGATGGAGGACAGCTCATTAATTTGCCCGCAAATGAACTACATGATTGTGTGATTATTAGATTAACACTTCAAGTTCACACATTTTGACTCAATTTTAAGTTCATATTTGTGTTCTTTTGTTGGCTTTTGTTTAATTCTTCCATTCTTCGCGGTTTCATACAGTTCGTTTCCACAGAGCACCTATTTATGCATTTCGTCTGCCCATCTTGTTCTATGTCTTCCTGCCTGCCGTTTGCCAATCCTCGGATCCCAGACCGTTGTAATGTGAGTCCATCTGTCATGTCTCATCCTTACTACATGCCCCACCCATTTACTTTTCAGTATTTGGGCACAGGGTACTGCATTTTCGATTTCAGTTTTTCTTCTGATTTTCGTGTTTCTAACGGGGTCTTTTTTCGATATTCTTAGTATTTTCTTTTCCATTTTCTTTGAGTTACTTCTAATGCTTTCTATTGTTGCTCAATTATTGACCTTGCCTGAGCGCTATAAATTAGTACAGAGAGAATACAACATGCAAAAAGTCATGAAAACTACATGCAACAAACACGCATTTAAGTAAAATTATAGTTAAAAGCGTACCTCTAGTTTGATTTTCCGACTGGGCAGTCTGTCTATTCTAGGTCTGGGCGTGTGCAGGCCTTCCTTTGCATACCGAAGTGAACAGGTTTCCTATCTGATTTTTGAACTTTAATACCTCAGGCGACTGCTTACGCATTCGGTGTGAATTCCTTTTTAGGCTGTGAATTTAATGACTGATGAGTTAAAAACGTCATGTGCACAACCGCATATATATATATATATATATATATATATATATATATATA